AGTCAGTATTGTCCATTCGCGGTTCCAACCAATAGTTCTCTGGTACACAACACCGTCTTGCCAAAAATACCATACATCTTCACTGCTATCGGAAATGTTTATAGAGTCCAGATTACCGTCAAAAGACGAACTTGAAAAGCTATCAACACTGGATGATGAAGAACACGCCATAGCCATAATAAACAACAATTGACACTAACACAACTCATGACGTCATTGCAACTAATTCCAAGAGATGGCGCTGCGAACAGTATTTTAATGTGTAAATTAGCAGACGACGCACATTTCGATAAAAAAAATGCTTCAAAACTATATCTTTAGACAATTTTTTTGCAACAAGTTGCTTTTGAAAAAGTAGTATCTCAGCAATGAAAAAATGCAAAGTTGTGCACAAGCTTAGTGGTTACTCTTTAAAGATTTCACTCACAGCTCTTCATCATAAACCCACCCGCCTCTCCATATGAAAAAAATATATAATATATATATACATATATATATAATTTCATTTTCGAGAAATATTTTCCCTACCTCCCCCACTCCCTCTTCCCCCTCCCTCTCTAACCCCTAAACCCCTTACCCCTAAACCCCCTTCCCCCACCTCTCTAACCCCCTCCCCCCTCCTATAACCCCCCCTCCCTTCCTCCTCAGCGCCCTACACACCGAAGTCGACTTAGCGGGGAAATGGCTCGACCAGATGGGCGGGGCTGCCCTCGAGCGCGGAGTCAGTGTCCAGTACTGCATGTCCCTCACGCGCCACCTTCTGTATTCCGTCACCCTGCCCGCCGTCACGCAGATACGAGTCAGCGATGATTATATGCTCAGTCCGGTAAATAATACATTGAGTAATGATGGTGATATATGTAAATATATATATACATAAATATATATATATATATATATATATATATATATATACAATATAGATATATGTGTTTGATTGTTTGTTTGTTTGTGTGTGTGTGTGTGCGTGTGTGTGTGTGTGTGTGTGTGTGTGTGTGTGTGTGTGCGTGCGTGCGTGTGCGTGCGTGTATGTGTGGAGTGGGCGGTAACAGAGGCGGTATCAGAAGGGTCGAAAGAGGTGGGGAAGCTAATTCTTGATTGATGGGGAATTGACAAATGCGTAATAACGGTCATTGTTAATTCCGTCAGATTAATCCGATAGCGGAAGAGATTTCGTAGTGACGCAGAGAATGAAATAATCGGTAGTTGAGGAATAAATGACAGTTCCTTAATAATTAATAGCTATGTCTAATACTTGTAATCTTTCTTCCCCTCGGTCTGAGAGTAAAATATAATCCCTGGTTAATTATTAGGTGGTAAATGCGTAGCTGGTAACGTAGTCCGGTAGTTAAAAAAATGATTTAATAGTTACGGGTGAAATAATCCATGACTCATGACTTAATAACTAATAACAATGAATGGATGATTCATTTACTACTGGTCAAAATGTAATAGTAATCGTAGTGATTTAATCCGATAATAGCTTTTTGTCCGATTTGGCTGTGGCTAAAATATAAAAATCTGATTGATGATTAAATGGCAAATGACTAATAGCGTAATTGATAATTATAAAAAACTTAATCGTGCAGAGAGAGAGAAAAAACGAGTTTTGTGGTGTGATTGAGGGTGAACATATTATAAATCAGCGACAGAAGCGTAAATGATGATTGATTAATGCAACTTGAGGACAGTAATGAAGTGATTTTATGGCGTGGCTGAGCATAGAATCACCCATTATAGATAGTCAAGGTAATGCAATTATTATACGGGTAAAACAGCGAAAAGAACTCGTTAAGAAACCCAGAAAATATCTAAGCAGAATCAATGGTTGATTATTAATAAGGAGAGAGAATGGAGTAAGATTTGATTCGCGAATAGTTAGGCAAAATAGCAGGCAAAATAATGATGATGATGATAACAATAGTAATAATAATAATAATGATAATAATAATAATAATAATAATAATAATAATGATAATAAAGATAATAAAGATAGCAGTAATTTCATATTCATTTTGGTCCCCCGAGCTTTGCCGACGGAAGGACCTCCTCCTCTGTCCTAATCCTCATCTCCGTCATCGCTCGCAGGACCAGTGGCGCATCGGCGTGACAAATCTCCTCGCCTACGCCCTCGGTCTCAAGCCCTTCAAGGACGTGTTCTGGTCCTCGAAGGAGAATGCCAACAACTTCTTCAAGGACTGCGATCTGGCCCTTCCCGAAAGCATCTGGCACCCCTTGGCACTCAGGCACAGATACGGAGGAAGGATCAACGTTACGGGTGAATTCCGTGTGGTCGAGGCTGGGGGGGGGGGGGGGGAACGTTTGTGTAACTGGGTTTAAGGTCTATTTTTTTAAAGCAATTTTAAACGTTTATTGAACTGGGTTGAAATTCTTGTGTGTTTGTGGTTTGGGAATACGTTTAAATGTTTTTGTAATTGGGTTTAAAGGCTGTAGTCGAGGCTAGGGAATATTTTTTTTAAACGTTTGCGTACTTGGGTCTAGATATTGTCTATTCTAGATTTGAGAATATTTAGTAAGCACTTATATTTAGTGCATTCAAGGCTTACAAATATTTACAAACGTTTATTTAAGTTGATTAGTTTGTTTTTTGTGTATTCGACGTTTGAAAATATTTTGAAACGTTTATGTAATTAGGTTTAATTTCTGTGTGTTTCAGGTTTGGGTATATTTTTTAAGATTATTCTGTTATCGAGTGTGAATGTGTTTAGGAATATTTTGAAACGTTTATGTATTTAGGTTTAAAAGGTTCGTGAATATATTTCAAAATCCATGTAATTGGGTTTAAATTTTGTGCATTCATTTTTAAACGTTTTTTTTTTTTATTGAGTTTAACTGGTTGTCTTTTCGAGGTTTGGGAATGGTTTGAAATGTTTGAACTAATGCTGTTTAAATTTTGTGTAGTCGAGGTTTGGAAATATTTTTTAAGCGTTTGAGTAATTGTGTTTAAATTTTGTGCGTTTTTGCACGTTTATATAATTGTGTTTAAAAGATTTGTGTATTCGAGGTTTGTGCATTGAAGTTCTGGGAATAGTTCTAAACGTTTACGTAATTTTGTTTGGATTCAATTAAAGGATCAAGGAACTGCAGGGGAACTCGAGAAAATGTATATATATAAAAAACATAGGTATGGTGTATTAAATTTACAAAATATGTATTCACAACTTAATGTATTTTTATAGACAGATGGATATATATATTTAGATGTAAATGCAAAGAGAAATAAATCGAGATAAAAAAATAGATATGGACACGAACAGAAATATATCGAGATAAAAAGAATAGATATGGAAACGAACAGAAATATATCGAGATAAAAAAAATAGATATGAAATATATCAAACAATATCCAGACACTCATGAATATCTGCGCTCAGTATTCACAAATGACAACCCTGCTTCCCTCTCACCAGCGTCCGGCAAGGCGTGCGTGGCGTGGGCGGACTTCGGTTGGGATGACAAGTACTACGGTAGCGGCATGGCCCTGAACCTCTGCCGCAACCCAGAGGACTTGAGGGACCGCCCCTTCTGCTACACGAAGGCGGGCTTTGGTAATGGGGCTCCTGTGCTGATGGAGATGGCTCTTTTCTCTTTCTCTCTTTTTCTCCTCTCTCTCTCTCTCTTTTTCTCCTCTCTCTCTCTCTCTCTCTCTCTCTCTCTCTCTCTCTCTCTCTCTCTCTCTCTCTCTCTCTCTCTCTCTCTTCTCTGTCTGTCTGTCTCATCTCTCTCTCTCTCTCTCTCTCTCTCTCTCTCTCTCTCTCTCTCTCTCTCTCTCTTCTCTGTCTGTCTGTCTCTTCTTTCTCTCTCTCTCTCTCTCTCTCTCTCTCTCTCTCTCTCTCTCTCTCTTCTTTGTCTGTCTGTCTCTTCTTTCTCTCTCTCTCTCTCTCTCTCTCTCTCTCTCTCTCTCTCTCTCTCTCTCTCTCTCTCTCTCTCTCTCTCTTTTCTGTCTGTCTGTCTCTTCTTCTCTCTCTCTCTCTCTCTCTCTCTCTCTCTCTCTCTCTCTCTCTCTCTCTCTCTCTCTCTCTCACACACACACTTTAAAAGATGGTTATCTGAAAACATCATTTGTTCACAATCCCTGGTGTTTCATGAAATCCTCCGCTTTCTGGTCCTCCAGATATCCCCGAAGAGGAGTGGGAGTGGGAGTACTGCGCCGCCCCCGTCTGCGACGTCGACTGCTACTTCGGCAACGGAGCCTTCTACATCGGCGGCCACAACGTGACGCAGAGCGGCCTCTCGTGCGTGGACTGGGCGGGCGAGTTCGACCTCTCCGGCGCTCGCTGCCGAAACCCCGATGGCGACGTCGCCCCCTGGTGCTTCGTCGCGGAGGACCACTCGCAGCGGGACTACTGTGACAACGAGTGCCCCGAGGCCGTCGAGTACAGCCCCGAGCTGCAGAGCGCCGTCTCGACCCTCGCCGGAGGGCCTCTGGGCGTGGGCGACAAGGCGCAGAACCTAAACGTCGAGCTCATCATGAAGTCGTGCAACAAGGAGGGCCTGCTCCTCCACCCGACGAAGCCCGCGACGGTCATCGACCTGTACTTCATGTCGCCCGAATACCGGGAGGTCTGGACGGGATACAGCACCGTCGGCGAATACACCTTCGGCTTCATCTTCCTGGCAGAGGTCGAGAAGCCCTTGTCTCTCTCGAGCTTCGACCTCAACCTCGACGAAGCCTTCCGCTCCGACGTCCTCCTGTGGCAGAATTACCCGGAGGGATCCTCGCACCAGCAGCTCGTCGGGGCAGGCGAGGGCGTCCTCCTCCCGCCGTGTGGAGGCTTCCTCAACTTCTGCCTCTTCTACACGTCGCCTGCCATCAACGCGGGGGGCAAGGACCTCTTCATCCCTCTTTCTTTGTCTTTTGTTGCACGAAAGTTTTCTGTCGTTCAAGATAATTTCTTTATTTACTGTAACTTTTAAGTATATTGTCGAGGTTCGCTTAGTTTCTTTAAAAAAAACAACTTATGTGTTATTATTTGCCT